AGACTGTAATTAGTCTAACATGAATTTAAAGGTAAATCTAATTTATCTACCCCCACATATTTGTCTGACCCATCTTACTTAGTGCAGGCTTGGTTTCAATTAAGGCAACTTGGTTTTTCAACAACAGTGGCAACCGTCCTCCATTAAATATGGACAAGACTTTTCACTATTTCAATGTAAGACAGCTTTACCTAAAATAACATAAACAAATGCTGTAATTTTCCTCTGATGCCCACCAGATGCAGTGGTCTTGCTGGTTAGGCATACTATGAGGGTCTACCTCAGGGGCAACAAATAGAGGAATATTGAATTGATCAGTCACTTGGAATGAACAAACTGTAGAGGAGAAGGTCACCTTGACCAAGGTAATTTCTCCCTGGACTTTCTTTGCTCAATTTCATTTAATTTATTCAATATACGTACCATCTAACTCCAAACTGACTTTGGGTAGTGTGCAATAAAACCACACAAAATATAAAATATAAGGTGTAGGAAGTTAGCACCCACGCCTTTCCTAGAAGAATGAAATATTTTAGGAAATATTAAAAAGGCAGAATATATTTCCCTGGATGAGAAATGTAGAAAAATGTTTTAAAGACAAAGCAGCTCCCATCTTCCTGCCTCCCCTCCCCCACCCTTTGTCAATGAGCCAGAGGCAGAAACCCAATCCACCCCCCACCTTTGTCAATGGACCATCATCTGCAACACAATAGGACCCATCTAGCAACAGAAACTCACCACATGGCACCTGGGAAGATTACATCAGCCAGCAAGGCTAGCTAAGACCCCAACCCCCAGGGAGTCTGACAACCAATCAGGATACTCTTCCTCTGCCCTAGGAAGTTCAAAGCTCAGAGGGGGCATAAAACCAAGGCATGCTTAGCATCTCTGCCCTTTTCTGTTCAGGAACTCAAACCATGTGATCCTGTCCACCATTAAACCATCTTTCCAAGCAGTCCCCATGTTTCCAGTGTCTTTTTCCCCACTTGGAGCTGAACCCAGATGGATATTTCTTCCAGTAAAGGAATATAACATATGGTAATAACAAAGGATAAGAAAGGGAATAAAGAGCAAGAACAAATAGCAACTCCAGCTACTAGCACCTACTCCCTCCAACATCCCTCCAACATTCCCCCATCCATCTCACCCAAGGTCTTGGAGAACATTCAGGTCTTTTGAGTGTTTCAGAACACTGAAATCAGCGTAGGAGCAGGTACTATTACAGAGAAGGCATGCTTCCTGGATCCCAACAGATGACACTGTTTAATTGTCACTGCCAACCCTGTCAGCTCATACCAGCTGGATAAACAGTTCTTCAGATAATTAGGACCTATGCCATGTAGGTCATAATCTCACACTTTGTATCACATTCAGAAGCATACTAGTAACTAATGTAATTTGCAAAGCAGAGGTGTTACATGAGCATATTGTGCCACTGCATTCTGCACCAGTTGAAGTTTCTGAGTGGTCTTCAAAGGCAGCTCCATGTAGATCACATTGCAAAAGTCAAGTTCCAAGGTCACTAAGGCATGAGTGATTATCTGAAACGCATCCTGGCCCAGGAAAGGACACAACTGGTATACCAAATGGAGCAGTGGTGGGTTTCAAATTTTTTTACTACCGGTTCTGCAGGTGTGGCTTGGTGGGCGTGGCTTGGTGGGCGTGGCAGGGGAAGGATACTGTAAAATCTCCATTCTCACCCCATTCTAGGGGAAGGTTACTGCAAAACCTTCAGGAGTCCTTCGGGAGAGGGGGCGGTATAAAAAATAAATAAATAAATAAATAAATAAATAAATAAATAAATAAATAAATAAATAAATAAATAAAATCCCCATTTCCTCCCGATCAGCTGGGACTTGGGAGGCAGAGAATAGATGGGGGCAGGGCCAGTCAGAATTTTTACTACCGGTTCTCCAAACTACTCAAAATTTCCACTACCTGTTCTCTAGAACTGGTCAGAACCTGCTGAAACCCACCTCTGAAATGGAGGCATGCAAAATCCTTCCTGACCACAGCTGCCACTTGCTTATTATAACCTACCACCGGCCATTACACTCCCACAGAGAGGGTCTCCTCAGGGTGCCATCGGTCAAGCAATGTCGACTGGCGGCTCCCAGGGGGAGAGCCTTCTCAGTGGGGGCACCCGCCCTCTGGAACGAGCTACCCCCAGGGATACGACTGATCCCGGACCTCCGTGCTTTCCGCCGGGCCCTGAAGACTTTTCTATTTTAGCAAGCCGGGCTGGCCTAAAATTTTTAACTGGTTAATTTTATGGGTAAGGGGTTTTAAATTGAGGAAGCCACATTAATTTAATCATATTTTTAAATTATTTTAATTTTCACATTGTATGTATTTTAATCTTGGCTGTTCACCGCCCTGAATCCTTTGGGAGAAGGGCGGTATAAAAATTTAATAATAAAATAAATAAACAAACAAATAAATAAATAAATAAATTGAGGAAGATTTCCAGAATGCTCACCATTCTTGAATAGGGAAGTGCATCCCTGTACAAGGTTAGATAATGTAATTTTTCCCATATCCACGTGGTCCACACATCCACTTGTCTTAGTAGGATTGAGTGGGAATCAGTTCCTCTCTATCCAGGCCTATGGCCTCCAAGCACCAAAGCAAAACTTCAGCAATCTCATTTGGTTGGCCTGGAGTCAACAGATATAATCGGATACTATCAGTATATTGATGATATGGCATCCAAAACCTGTGGATGACTTCACCCAGAGGTTTCATGTAGTTGAACCAGAGAGGAAACAAGCTTTGTAGAACCCCATCAATAGAATCCCTTGTAGAACCCCATGACTAGAGAGTATCCTCTCCCCACACGACAACACTGACTGAAACCAGCCCCAAAGGAAGGATAATAACTGCCATGAAATAGTGACACAAGATCCCAACTTCCAGAATTGATATAAAATACCATGGTTGATGGTATCAGAAATGGCTGAAACCTCAAATAACACAAAACCCTTCCCTTCCCTAGGGTCTTAGCTTTTGCAGAATGCAAAATCCAAATGGGGATAATCCTAGGGAAATAGACCCTTTCTGGCCCTACACAGGTCTCACATAAGCATGCCAGGTTAGCATCCTCATCCATTATAAGACCATGAATGAAGTCAGCCTTGTTACACACCAACCTGGCATTCAATAAGGATGCAATGGCTAGGCATCAGTTCAGTAATGGTGGTAGATATGGCTCACAAAAGAAAGAAAATATTTACCAAAAGTACACAGATATGAGCTACTCCAAGCATTCCTTTCTATCGTTTATTAGCTTCTCTTATTCTATTGAGGGAGGCCATTTTTATCTCCCTCCGAAGCTGACAGTTTGTAGGTCCAAGTAGTGGTGGGTTGCCCCCGGTTTGGTCCAGTTCTTATGAACCGGTAGTAAAACCGGGGGCAGGCTCCGCCCGCCCACCGAGATGTCGTCATAGATCATCTGCACATGTGCAGAAGGTTCTGTGCATGCGCAGAAGCTCAGTGCATGCACGAGCGAAGCGAGAGCACGCGCACGATCCCATTGCAAACTGGTTGTTCAAGTATATGGGTCCAGGTATATGGTCCCTTTATTCACCTTTATATTCCCTATTAAACTTTGTATTTCAAGATCCTAAAAAAGCTCCTCCTACATTTGATACCTATCCAGGAGAATTTCTACCAGAAATAATTTCCTCACAAAACCTGAATGTAACCACTTGACCAGTCCATTGCAACTTTTTTCTTTTACCAAAAGTAAAAGTAAAAAAAAAAAAAATCCTCTCAGGAGCCTTCTGTCAAAAGTTTCCTTCCACTCTTCCCCTGCTATGTGCTGGGTGCAATATCAAGACATTTCGGGGACATCAGGCTGGAAATTTCAGCTTTATAGGTGCTACTAGATATGAGGGTGGAAATAAATATTCAAGGTGCTGGTTGGCCAAGCCAAAGCGCTCCATGGTTTGGGACCTGGGTACCTACGAGACCGCCTTCTGCCACCGATAGCCTCCCATCGACTGGTACACTCCCACAGAGAGGGGCTCCTCCTCTAGGCAATGTCGGCCGACAACCCCCAGGGGGAGAGCATTCTCTGTGGGGGCCCCTACCCTCTGGAATGAGCTGCCCCCAGAGATTCATAGGATTCCCTACTGCATACCTTTCATCGTGCCCTAAAAGCATTATTATTCCAACAAGCAGGGCTGGCCTAAATAATAATAATATTTTTACTATTTTAATGGGTTGTTTTATTAGAGTTTTCGGCCAATTTATTTGATTGTTTTAAATTGCTTTTAATTTTTATATTGTCATGGTTTTATTTCTGACTGAACACTGCCCTGAGTCCTTCGGGAGAAGGGCGGTATAGAAATTTAATAAAATAAAATAAATTAATTAAATTAAATAAATAAATAGCATCTCACAGGGTGATAAGAAGGAGGAGTCTCTCGCATACTTCTCTAGGCTGAAACATCTGTTTGGGGCTGCTCTTATTTTTGAGTTGCATATTGGAGAATGCAATTTTTAAAAAAAGAATAGAATCACGATAAAGACATAAATGGAAACTTAAATTGATTACATTTAATTCGAAATTAATTTAATATTATTGCAATGATGACTCCCTGCGTGTTTAGCAGCTATCCTGTCACATTACAATTTACAAACTGGTGGGTAATATTTTAGAAGGCTTTGGAAGCACAATTAACATTTGGAAGGCCTCTAGGTGACCCTAAAGCTGTAAACTATGAGCCCAATATTACTTACGTGGGAATAAATCCAGTTGACTTCAGTAGAGTTTACATCTGCAGAGATATGCACAGACTTACAGTATGTTTAGCTTTTTCCCCCTTTATTTTTCCTCCTTTATTTTTGCAAGGCAAAAAAAAAAAAAAACCCACAAGAAAAACTAGCAAAATTTTAAAATATAACTAATCAATTCAAATAACATTATCAACAATTCATTAGAAGTATAGATGTATGCAGTCTTACCTGAATACATCTGATAAGAGGTATGTTTTAAATACATTTTTATCCAGAATAATATATGGGCTTCCTTTCAGCTGAGTTAAGTAGAGAAGAGATGCCTGTAACCTATCTTGGACAGGAAGGTATTGGAGGATTAAAATCACTTCTCCATGAGCAATCTGAGGCCTTCGGTGAATCACATTCTTTCTTATTGATTTAAAGAACATAAACATCTGGGAAAACTCTGATTTGTTTGTTATGGGAATATTTCTCCAGGTGTCACCAGACCTGGAGAGAATTACCAGTTTCAGATGACTGGGGAGGGGGTATTTCATAAGACAGAGTGGAAACAGAGCATCATGTTCACATCTGTGGAAAAGGGCCCTTTTAAGTTTCAAAAGAACCACCATCGTAAAAGTCTATTTGGGGGTTAATCCACATGGTAATTGTTAGATTGGCACAGGGAAAAGAAGATGCGACTCAGCAGAGGTCCGTTCAGCACTTTATTCAGCTCATACGGAACTGCCGGCTGTGCTGCCGAGCCCTCCTTATATACAGCTCTGGCAAGCTAGCCAGCCAATGACATTCATTTAAACTTCCCGCCGTTGGATTAGCCAACCACCGGCGGATGCCCATATAAAGACACAACACCCCTCCCCTCCTAGTTCTCAGTCTGTCAAGCCGACTTAGGTCACATAGTCACACAGGTAGGTGGGGCGTCTAACCCTACTTGACCTGCGCGGTTCAGTCCTTGCTTCGCTGTTGATCCGGACGGGTCGGGCTCCCGCCCTCTCCAGTTCCCGACATGGAATTGTCTGGAACTCGGCCGTCAAGTACGCTGGGTCTGGCCCAGCGCCTCCAGCTGGGTTTGTTGGATTGTCCTGCGGGTGGCGGAGTCCCTCTCCCTGGGTGGGATGATGGAGACTCGGCCGCTGAAGTTCACCTTGGACCCGGGCTGGGCAGCTGAACCGTGGTAGGTCCTTGGGTTCTTTCCTCCCTTCTTCGGCTTGCACTCCGGGCCCCTGGCGGACTGACTCAGTCGGGGTGGTGTAGGCCTACCTCACCGGAGTGGCACAGGCCTGCCTTGCTGGGTGGTGTAGACCTACTTCGTTGGGGTGGTGGCAGTCTACCTCGCCGGGACGGTGCAGGCCTCCCTCACCTGGGTGGAGGCCTACCTCATCGGGGTGGTGGAAGTCTACCTCACCAGGGTGGCGCAGGCCTACCTCGTCGGGGTAGTGTAGGCCTACCTCATCGGGGTGGTGGAAGTCTACCTCGCCGGGGTGGCGCAGGCCTACCTCGTCTGGCTGGTCTTCCTCAACTCCCCTCCACCTTTTCCAGAGCTGGTCGATGTGATGCCTGCAGGTTCGTCCGTCTTCCAGCTCCACTTTGTATGATCTCGGACCGGTCACTCTCCCGATCAGTCCTTTCAGCCACTTCCGAGGGCCCTGGAAATTTAGCGCGAAGACCGGATCTCCGATTCCAAAAGTCCGTGGCAGCTGGGCATTGTTTTGTTGGCACTGCGGATTGTACTGGGGGTGTAGCCGATCCAAAGGTGATCGTAGTCTTCTCCCCATCAGGAGCTCTGCCGGGCTCTTCTTTGTGGTGGTGTGCGGAGTGATGTGCTGGGCGAACAGGAACTTATCAATTTTCTCCTGCCAGTCTCCTGCGCCCATTTTGGCGAGTGTGTATTTGGTGAGTCTCACCATTTTCTCCGCTTGCCCATTTCCTGCCGGCCTGTAAGGGGCGATGAGGGCATGCCTAATGCCCAACTCTGCTAAGAAGTCTTCTATGGTCTTGGAAGTGAGCTGGGGGCCATTGTCTGAGACCAGGACGTCTGGAAGGCCGTGCGTGGTGAACAGCCGGTGGAGTGCCCTGATGGTGGCCTCTGTCGTGGTGGTGGGCATCACGATTACTTCCAGCCATTTTGAGAACGCATCCACCACGATGAGAAGAAACTTGTCATCTATTGGTCCTGCGAAATCGATGTGAATTCTCAACCAGGGGCTGCTGGGCATCTCCCACTCCGTTGGCTGAGCTTGCAGTGGCGCCGGTCTCACCTCCTGGCATGGGTCACATCTGACGATCCATTTTTCAATGTCCTTGTCCAGCGTTGGCCACCAGACATAGCTCCGTGCCAGGGCCTTCATCCTGACGATGCCAGGATGCCCACTGTGCAGTGCCTCCAAGGTCTTCTTCTGTAGGATGTGGGGAATCACCACCCTGTCACCCCAGAGGAGGCATCCTTGCATTGTGGAGAGTTCTTGTTGTTCCCGCATGAATGGACTGAACTCTTCGCCCACTCTCCCAGTTGGCCAGCCCCTCAAGATCCAGGACATGACTTGCCTGAGGGTTTTTTCTCTTTGGGTGTGCTTCGCCACGGTGGTGGATGAAACTGGGCACAACTGGTCATCATCAATATGGAACAGTCCAAGAGTGGGTGTCGGGTCTTCCACTGGCTCTTGGATGGGGCATCTGCTGAGGGCATCGGCATTGCAGATGGACTTGCCAGGCCTGTATATCAGTTTATACAAGTAGTCAGAGAGGAAGATGGCCCAGCGTGTCATCCTGGGCGACATGTAGGTGGGCGTTTGTTTGTCTCCTGCGAGGAGTCCCAGCAACGGCTTGTGGTCCGTCACAATGGTGAATGCTCTTCCGTATAGGTATTCATGGAAGTGCTTGATGCCAGCTACGATGGCCAAGGCTTCCTTGTCCAGCTGGCTGTAGTTGCGCTCAGTCGTGGACATTGTTTTCGAAAAGAACGCAATGGGAGCTTCTGATCCATTGGGAAGTTGGTGGCTGAGGACAGCCTCAACTCCATATGGCAAGGCATCACAGGTCAGAAACAGGGTGAGTGTCCCATGGTATTGCATGAGGACGCTGTCCGAAGAGAGTAGTTTTTTGATGTTCTGGAAAGCTGACTCTTCTTCCTCCCCCCATTTCCAAGGAATCGCCTTCCCTAAAAGTCGATGGAGGGGCTCAGCAACTGTGGCTTTCTGTTTTAAAAAGACACTGTAAAAGTTCAGTAGTCCCAAGAAAGCCTGAAGCTCTGCTTTGTTTTGGGGGGCTGGAGCTTCGTGAATTGCTTTAACTTTACTTTTGGTGGGGTGGATGCCTTTGCTATCAATTAGGTAGCCCAGGAACTCGACCTCCTGGACCCCGATGATGCACTTGTCTCTCCTGACTCTTAGACCCTTCGCCTGAAACCGCTGCAGGGCAAGCCTGAGCTGTTCCAGTAGTTGGGCTTCTGAGTGGCCAGAGACCAAGACATCATCAAAGTATGGCACCACCCCTGGAATGCCTTGCAGAAGGCGTTCCATCATCGATTGGAAAATGCCTGGGGCAGCACTGACTCCAAATTGGAGGTAGTTGCATTTGAATGCACCCCGGTGAGTGACAATAGTCTAAGCCTCCGCAGTTTTTTCATTGACTGGCAGTTGCTGGTAAGCCTGGGCCAGGTCCATTTTGCAAATATGGTTCCACTCCCTAGCGAATGCAACAGATGTTGCACCACTGGGACTGGGTATGCGCTCTGCTGTAATGCCCTGTTAATGGTGCATTTATAATCAGCACAGATACACACAAATCCATCATGCTTCATTGGGGTCACAATGGAGGTCTTCCATGCGGCATGATCAATCGGCTCCAGTATGCCCTGGGTGATTAATTTGTCCAGTTGGGCGTCAACTTTAGGCCGGAGGGTGAATGGAACCCTGCGGGGCTTTAGCCAAATTGGAGTAATTGTTAGATCTAAATTGAATGAAATGGGTTTCCCCAAAAATTTACCTAGGCTCCCGTTGAAGACGTCCTGGAAGTCCCCTAGGAGCTTGTCGAGTTCGCTCTGTCTAATCTGATTAATCCCGCCAATGGTGAGCCCTAGAGGCTTGAACCACTCCACTCCAAGAAGGGTTGGTCGGGTCTCCTTGACGACTGCGATGGGTAGGTCCCCGGAGAAGTCTTTGTAATGGACTCTGAGCTTGGTCCTTCCCAGGATTCCAATTGGATGGCCTCCAAAATCCACCAATTTCGCTTGCATTTGGGAAGGAGAGCAATGTCATGCAGATTTGCAAATTCTGCATTGATATGAAACTGGTTTTCCATAGAATCATGCTTCAGGAAGGGCAAGTGATAGTGCTCCACTTGCAATCACAATGGGGCCCAAAATTTATGCTGTGAAACAAAGTAGTTGTTAAATGAGTTGTGCCCCATTTTATTACCTTTTTTTTTTTGCCGTGGTTGTTAAGCAAATCACTACAACTGTTAAGTAAAGCAAGAGGTCATTAAGCAAATCTGGCTTCCCCACATTGACTTTGCTTATTGGAAGCTCCCAGGGAAGTTTGCAAATGACAATCCCAGGACTACATGCTGGTTGCCAAGCACCTGAAGTGTGACTGTGGGGATGCTGCAACACTTATAGGTGTGAGAACTGATCATTAGTCACTTTTTTCAATGCTGCTGTAACTTTAAACAGTCATTAAAGGAATGGTTGCAAGTCAAGGACTACCTATAAATGATATAAATGAGGTTTTTAGCAAGGGAAAGATGACTCTGAGCAGCAGAAACTGGATGTCAGGAAAGTCCTATGATGAAAAAAACATAAACAGTTTAGCTCACAGATTCCTATTTTTCATGTACGTTTAAAATGTCACAACACCACAAGGAAAATCCCTAAGGAAAAGAGCATCTGAAAAGAACACTAACAAAATCTGCCTTTCTTTAGGTTTTTTTTTCCCAGCTGCCTTTAAGACAAGTAACGGAAACTTGAGATATTTACCAATATTATTTGTTGGCATCGCTAGCATAGGGGGGGGAAACAGTCCTTTTTAATGCTACTGTTTTGTTTTAGTATATCAACTGATACTTTATGACCTTTATTTATTTTATTCCAACTATTTCAATTTCTCATTGAGAGCTGTAGAACTCTAAATGTGTGAATCTCAAGAAATCAATCAAGTTTGTGCCATCAAAATCAACGCAAGTGAAGAATCATAAAAGACCAACAGTAATAAAAGAGTGGAGGGATAAAGAAAAGCATTTAGAGTGTATTACAACAGCATACACTAAAAGGAGAGAGACAGATAATTAAAATCATCCTACACTGTACGTTATAGAATGGCTTCAGAGACAGACTTTTAAAGATGCAACAAGAGAATTATGTGCAAGTGAGCCGCATTTTCTTCCAAGATAACATTAAAAAATGAAAGTCACTGGGGGGAAGGGGGGGAAGTGAGAGAGAAAGGGGGCTGCTCCAGATGTGGAAACAGGTTGTGCTTCCTCTCCTATCATTTCTATAGGAATCTGAAGCTATTTTGAGCATGTACCTGCTGTGATAGCCCCTCATATATTACTCTCAATTTAATGTGGATCTAACATGCTTCTCTCTGGAGACATCTCCACAAAACATAACAGGCAATCAGTCTGTCTCCTGAGCCATTCAACTAAAAGCTTTCTTGAACTGTAGAAGGGTTAGATTCAGTTTACTGCACAATTAAAAAACATGCACATAGAAACCTTGCCGTAGCTCCAGAACTGACATCAAGGAAATTATGATATGTGATCAGAAGCTGTTGGGTTGCTCCTGTTAAGTTTTGAACTCATAGGGAAAAAAAATGAAATGAGGCTAAATATCTGTTTTAAAGTTCAAGCATGCATTACAACATTCATAAAGTTGAATTTTCAGAGTCCAACAGAATTGGGCAGCTAATAAATTCAAATGAATCCATAAATAAAATTAAACCATTCATACTAATAAGTAAGCAACTAAAAAATGACTGACTGCATGTGGTTGCTGAAGTATTCAAAATCTGGGGTCCTTGGTGCTCTCTGAGCTTGGTTTTTTTCTTGCAGATATTTCATTACCAAAACTAGGTAACATCATCACATCCTAAACCCACTTATTGGGGACTTGGAGGAAGCTACGCTCAGCACAGAATTCATTCTGAGTAATCAAGAATAGTTCTGGACTGTATGACACAGCTTACTTATTGTGATGTAAATGCAGGAACACAGAGATAAATAAATCAGGATAAGCTAGGGCAGTGGTTTCCAATCAGTGGTGGACGTATCAAAGATGGGACTCAGTTAGAAGGGACATCGTAAGTCACTGAAATTTTAAATTGAGTCTATGAAGGATACTCTAAATAATGTAGAGTATAACAATGTCTCTATGCATCTCTATGTCCTTCTCTGAAATAGTGGACTTTTTATTTGTATCATGCTAGGAGCCACATTCTTTGGAGGAGTGGTTGTTGGAGCTTGAGAAATGAAAGAATAGAAAAACAGAGAGAAAGACAGAAGGAGCAGGCAAAATATACTTTGTAAAGATAGGACTTTACAATGAGGAGGCTCAATGTCAGGTTCACACACCGTGATTATCACTACAATTTTCAGAGATATTGTATATGTTGCCTGCTAAATGAGCTGCTTAAATCACTAAGAAGCTACTGATATCCTGTAAGTCAGTGCTCCCCCGCCCCTCCAACCTTTTGGGCACCAGGGACCGGTTCCATGGATAAAGGTTTTTCCACAGACCGGAGGGGACATGGGTTTGTGTGCTGCCTGCATCCCACGGATGGGGGATGTACAGCCCAGTTGTGGACCAGGGATTAGGGACTCCTGCTATAAATTATAGCATTCTCTGAAAGCTGCACACCTGTTAAAGTCAACCGTACATTTGGTGTGCAATGTGCATCTGTGAATTGTCCATCCTTTTGGTATCTCTCAAACTTTAAAGTGCGTTAAACATCCACTTGTGTTTTCCTCTACCTAGCAGCTTCCCTTGTCTACCTCATGGCTTCTCCCAATTCTCTGCCACACATTTGGATGAGTTCACAAAAGAAATTGTAAGGTATAGATTTGGCACATGGTTTTAAACATATTGCAGATAGGCAGATACATCCCATATGCAGAAATCCTTGTTTATGCTAATACTGGAGTACACTCTACTGAAACTCATAATTATTTCCCAAGAAAATAAATCTAGGATTGTATTGTTGGCCCAATTCTTTGTTTTGGATGTTTCTATGCTGCTACCACTTCCACTCCCAATCCCTCCAAAGCAATTTGGAATTTACCCACAATAAAAATTACCTCTGCCAACTCTGAAACAATAAGAACAAGAAACAAAAATGTGTATACACATTCTAGTACAAGCCCTTTGTGTTTGCACTGATTTCCTGGGGAAAAGAAGTGGAAACTGACAAGATCTTGTCAATTTCATCCATGTCTACGCTAGACTGAAATTACAGCGGTGTAGATCCAATTCATCGACTAGCACAAACACTTTGCTGTTGAAATGCCTTCCAATTAAGCAGTTAAAAGTCTTTTGATCAATTAGAGTTGCCCACAATCAAATGTCAACATTTTTTTTAAATGACCAATCAATTTTTAGAAGAGGCAGTCTTTCCAGTTACATCTAGGTCAAATGTATGCTTATTATAACTCAGAAGCAGCTGAGACTGTAGGTGTCCACAGCTAACTGAGATGGTGTAAAAATGATGACATCCACATGGTGACATCATGAAAAATTCTCCCCTTATGCACTTATTTTCTGATGTTTGACATAAGTACTAAGTTGTGGGTTTTTCATAATGACACACATTACACACAATGTATCACTTGCCCCTACCTTGACCTCCCACAGAGCTGAAGGCTGAGACAAAAAAAGAAGAAAAAAATATTGTACTCTTCAAAAACAAAACCATCCTTAATTTCTGGAAAGGACTAAGATTTATATCATTTAGTGGTGATCGCAAAAGTAAATCATTAGGCTACCTCAGAGGCTACCTCAGTGAGTAGATTTTGACTAGAAAAATGGATGGATAAATATCAAAATAACTCAGTATATTTTCTTCTCTAATTCATACATGCATTAAATCTGCAGAGCGTTTTTCCCCAGATTTCCAAATACCGAAGATATTAACAACAACACAAAAAAAAAACCAGAAAAAATAATTACCACAGGAAATATTTTAGTAATGCTACCCCAATAACAGAAAGTTCTTTTTAAGCTGCTTGTTTGCTGTTTAGATTAATATTATTGACTGTACTTCCTGATGAAGGATTTCAGAATTTGGATTTTGATATTTTTAGGCTATGTTCATACACAATTAACAAATCTCAATGTCTATTTCCACATCATAATCTGTTTTTCAGCCCTTCAGCGATTACAGGGGTACATAATGTTTGGTGGGAAGGGCAAGGAACACATTTTACATTTTGATGGCAGGGCATATATCTAATGTTGCATCCTAACAAATAGGAAATTTGACCAAGGCAAAACACAAGTTTGTTTCACATGTAATTAAAATTAAATGCAATTAATTGATTATTCTCTATACCTATATTCAATCATTTCTTTTCTGGAGCTTAAATATAAAAATTTGGTAAGCCTCTACATGTTAAATGCACAGGAACAGTGACTGGAGAGAAGGGCTACCTTGATCTTCTACTTGTGCATCTCTCATAGCAGACAGAATATTGTCTAGATAGGCCTAGACCTGATCCTACATGGATAGATCTATCGCTATCCATGTCTCCTCATAAATTTAAGTCCCACTGAAAAAACTGAACTCAGTGAAATTCAGCTACATAACCTGCAATCTAAAGCTATGCTTCCCTGTGACTGTCCCATGACTCCTGTGTTCACTTTAAGAACAGACATGCACACAGTTATTCTGTTTAGCCTAGATGAAAAGTATCAGCTGCTGCCATGAATTGTTCTTTAAAGTATTTAAAGAACAGGACAATAAGCTAGTTAGCCCTAAACTACTACAGAGAATGGACCTCTGTTACCAAGTAAAAATAATAATAAAAAATAAACAGGAAATTCTGATTGAGTGTTATTTGTAATTTATGCTAAGTATGTTCATTAGTAACCCTTTGAAATGTTTCCAAGATATAAATATGGAATCATTCATGATCTGCTTACAAGCAGCTAAAACAGAATTAGTTCCTTTGGACTTAACCAAAATTTCTACCACAGTACAAGATGTGAGAATAGTATTGTCTACTAATATAGGATATATATCTAAGGTATTATTACTTTGTTAAAAAATCAGTCTGTTGGAAAGACTGCTGAGAATCAGCAGCTCTTGCTCTCTGTGTGTATGTGGGATGTGTATATGTGTGTGTGGAGAGAGGGAGGGAGGAAGGGAAAGAGAGAGAGAGAGAGAGAGAGAGAGAGAGAGAGAGAGAGAGAGAGAGAGAGAGAGAGAGATATTTGTATACAGTATATATAAACTCTCCAGCCTTCCACAGTCAAACCATAAACCTGTCAATAATGTAAAAGATGCAAAAGATTTTGACCAGCTCAGAGTGTTCATTTATTTCCTTTCTGGGCAGGAATCCCAGCCAAGCAGATACTTATGCATAGTCTGTCCTCATTTCATCTAATTACAAGCTTCTCTTTCAGAGAAGGAGAGGAAGAATGGGAGAAAGGTTTGATCATCCAACGGAAGGTCATTTAAGCAAGGAGTTTCTAAAATATTCATTGATCTAGTGAGCATTAAAAAAAGTCACAAGGTTTCCCAGGGTTTGTTAACAAAAAAAAAAAAAAAAAGACCTTTCCATTACACAAGTTGTTAGAATCAGCCAATGATTAGAGCATCGGGAGTAGAACATGCGGTACAATAAATCAGCACAGGGAGTACAGGAATGTTTAAAGTACCAGAACATTAAGCGGCTACCCTGCTTTATTTTTCCGAGGTCTGTGGTTAATATGGCTTTCTTAGAGAGGGAACATGAATAAGTGCTGCTTTCCTTGACCTTTCTCTTTCATCCAAATCTGTTGTAGGGAAGACTGAATAATGGGAGTGTCAAAACATAGACAATGTTTTATTTTGGCCAAATGCAAAAGGACTCATTCAACCCACACAGAGTTTGTTCCATGCTACAAGTGGGCACACCACAAACAGCAAACACTGAACCCGGAGACGCACAGCTAAGCCCAGAGCCAACTTTATTATGTCATCCCATTATGTGTGAACAGATTTTCTGTTCCTACAAATTCTCCCATCACTTGATAAAGAATTGGGGGGGGGGAATAAATCAATTTTGGATTTGTTCTACAACTGGATTTAATTCGCCTAGCACCCAAATCATCCCAATTCAGTATTGTATATGGCTAAATTCTATACATGCTTCTATATATTCACACTCTTTTACTTTCTCCCATAAAAGCAAATGTTTGCCATTTGTTCTTATGTAGAAAATTAATGCAATTATGTTATGGATTGGTACTAAGTGAAGGCAAACCTATCTTCCTCCTCCTCCTCCTCCTCCTCCTCCTCCTCCTTCTTTTTAGTATTATACAGGTAGTTCTCAACTTACGATCACAATAGAACCCAAAATTTAGGCTGCTAAGTGAGACATTTGTTGAATGAGTTTTGCCACATTTTATGAACTTTCTTGCCACAGTTGTTAAGTGAATTGTTGCTGTTAAATTAGTAACACAATTGTTAAGTGAATCCGGCTTCCCCATAAGACCCCAGGACATGCAACCATCATAAATAGGTGCCAATTGCCAAGCTTCTGAATTTTGATCATGTGACCATGGGGATGTTGCAATGGTTGTAAGTGTAAAAAAAGGTCATACGTCACTTTTTTCAGTGCCGCTGTAACTTTGAATGGTCACTAAACAAACTGCTCTAAGTCAAGGACTACCTGTACAGACCACATGTCAGCTTTGGAAGCCATATTAGGCCAGAAGCTTTCATGCTCCCACCTTCTCATGTGTGGGAAAGTAGGAGGTGGGATTTCTTTTCTTTTCTTTTTTTTTTTTTTTTTTTTTTTTGCTTTAATTTATATGCCGCCCTTCTCCGGAGACTCAGGGCGGCTTACAATGCGTTAAGCAATAGCCTTCATACTTTTGTATATTTATACAAAGTCAGCTTATTGCCCCCACAATCTGGGTCCTCATTTTACCTACCTTTGAAAGGATGGAAGGCTGAGTCAACCTTGAGCCTGGTGGGATTTGAACTTGCAGTAATTGCAAGCATCAGATGTTAATAACAGTGCATTAGTCCACTGTGCTACCAAGGCTCTTTAGTAGAGGATTTAGTAGAGGGGTTGTCTTTAGACATAATAGCATTCTTCCTGTCGGTCAAGGTCAGGCTGATCCTGTATCTGGAGAAGGAGTGGTCGGAATGCTGTCTCAAGATGGGATGGATGGTGATTGGAGCATGTGATCGACCGAGGAGTGAGGGGATGGTTTTGGGAGGTTTTGATTTACTGAGGGAAAACCCAGACCTCTCAGATTCGGGTTTTCCCAGATGTGCCAGTTAACCTATTCTAGTAAATAGAACTTTGAAAAATGCTTGCTTCAAAGTTTTTACTTGGAGGTGCGGGGTTTTCTGGAATGCTGACACTACACCTCACTGAAAAGCAGTCTCCCCAAGCAGGGGTGAAATGCTCACAGTTTGGACCGGATTGCCCGATCCGGTAGCGATGGCGGCGGGTAGCAAATTGGTAGCAAAAATCCCTGCCCCCCCTCCCCACCATGCCCAGCTGAGCCACGCGATCATCAGAGGCTGGTTTGTTTTTTTTTTACTTTTAAAAGCATTTTTTCTACAACCTCTTCAGCCGAAGAGGTTGTAGGGGGAAAAAAATGCTTGTAAAACCCCCTGACGATCCCAGCTGAGTTGCCTGATCGTCAGAGGTTTTTAAAGGCATTTTTTTTCTGCAACCTCTTCGGCCGAAGAGGTTGGAGAAAAAATGCTTTTAAAAGTTAAAAAAAAAAGTTGGCCACACCCACCCAGTCACATTACCCCCCCACCAAGCCATGCCCACAGAACCGATAGTAACAAATTTTACATTTCACCACTGCTCCCAGTGCCCAACATATGGTTGCTCTTCTCACATAATAGGATATATCATCCCTCAATTTATAATACATAACCCTACTCAGAATGGTATGTGGAGGAAATCCAGAATATAACAGCCAATTCCCAATATTTCTGCCTCCCGCAGGCAGGTGCTGAAGTTTTTCAAAGAAGAAAATTTAAAGAAATAAGGAAAAGGAAAAGGAAGTAATGTTTTTTTAAAAGATAGAGGAATGTTTCCACACACAACATGTTCCAAAAACATGTTATCTGGATCAGATTTATCGAAGTCTGGGGGAAGGAAGAGACATTGCCTTGTCCAAGTATTCATGTCTCCATGTTCTGTCCCCTTCTGTGGACAAGTAATGCTAAAATGTTTGCTGACTATGCCAGCCAGTCATTGATTGCAGCAGTTTCAATCACGAATTTTCCTGAAGTCAACCCACAGGTCCTTCACTATTTCATTTAAGTATACATGTCTCAGGACTTGAGTGGTGGGGATGAGGGAAAACAACACATTACTCTGTCATCACAGAAAGAAACCAGCAAAGTTTTTTTTCCTGCCCTGCCACACATCTATCCTTTATTTATTTATTTATTTATTTATTTATTTATTTATTTATTTATTTATTTATTATTGCGATTTATATGCCACCTTTCTCCCTGGGGACTCAAGGCGGCTTACAAAATGACAAATTCCAATACAAATCACAATGAAATAAAATTAAAATCAGCAACCCTATTAAAACAGTTTAAAATTATGACAGATCCCCCAAACGGATCAGTTGAGTTGACGGAAGAGCCACGTCTTCAGCTCGCAATGGAAGGAAAG